CTGGATCGTGCTTTTTTGTGCTAAAGCAAATTGTTTTTGCAGCACTGATACACATCTAGAATAATATTCAATTAGGCTAATGGCTGCTGCTTACATTGTTCAGTGAGAAGCAGTGATTAGGAGCCTCGGTTCAGTCTGCATTAATTCCTCCTGCAGAACACCTGCACCTGCCTGTCCTTCCCTGGGGACCCTGCAGCACAGAAACCTTTTGTAACCAAAGGAGATGGAGGATGACCTTTAGCTCGGACAGGAGAGGCTGCAGAGCTTGTGATTGTCCATCTGCCAGAGCTGACCCCTCCTGGCAGTGATCCTGCAGGCTGGGATGAGGAAACAGAGCTGGGGATGTTGGTGGGGAGTGGGAATGATCCTCCTGCAGCACAGTGGGGTCAGGGCAGGGGAACTCGTGCTGCCACCTGAGAGCTCGGGAAACGGGAGATTCCACAAGTGGCTGCTCTGAAATGCTGCTTGAAGGAAAGGAAATGAGGAAGGAAAAAAGGTCAAAAAATGTCATCTCTTTGCAAGATTATATTTTCTAATCTTTCATAAACACGTAATCCCAGTTGTTTGTTCTTGCCTTTGGGTGACAGAATGCCACATCTCACCTGACACAATGGAGTTTTCTCACACCCAGGCTTCATTAATATGTATTGGAAACCTAAAATGGTATTCAGCCACAAGGGGGGAAAAGTACAGAATTGCTGTGGATTATAATAATTTCAGCAAAGCATCTAATTTATATATTAAACTTGCTTAATGGATTTATATTGCCTTGCTCTTTGATCTGAAGCAAAAGGTGGTGAATAATTTATCAAATAAAAAACCCTCCCCTAGCCCAGCCCACACGTCACAATCTGCCCTGTAATTTACATTTTTTAAGAGATGCCGTTTCCAGGCAGAAGAACTGGTTCCTAAAAGACTCCTTCTAATATTACAAATGTATTTTCGTGAGCTACACTCTGGGGAAAGAAATAATAATGAAGGAATGCAATTCTACAGACAAATGTTCCAGCTCTCTGCCTTCCTCACTAAAGACAGTCATTTCAGCTAAATGCCAAAAGGCATTTAACTGTAGCATTTGTCAGTGGAATAGGGTTGGCTTTAGGTTTCCCTCCTGATTTACAATTGAGTGTTTATTGGGTTTAGTGTACTGTAGCATGTTTTGTTAACCTCTAGAAGAGCGCAGGCAGCTCGTGCGTTAATCACAGGGATGATTCCTGTCAGGGGAGCCTGGGCTGCTGGGACTGCCAGGCTTGGTGGGAAGGGTGCTGGCTGCTCCCAGGGGCAGGAATCAGCTAAACTGGGAGCAGCTAAACTGGGAGCAGCTAAACTGGGAGCAGCTAAACTGGGAGCAGCTCCTGGCTCCTCGGGTGCTTTCCTGGGAGATGTAGAATCCATTTCTTTCCATGTCTCTATTTTTCAACCAAAGAGGGTGAAGTGCTGTGTGGTGGTGCTTAAGGGAGCTGGGGGAGCTGCCACAGAACCACCTGCCTAAGGAGCACTCAGGTCACTGTGGTGTTGTTTCAAGGACAACTATTGGGAACTTTGTGCCTGGAGATTTGCCTGCCCATCCTCAGGAATCCCAGCTCCATCCGCAGGGAACAGCAGCCAGAGCTCTCCCATGACTCCTGACACATCTCCCATTCCCTTTTCATCCACATTTGTCCAAACCCACCAGTTGTCAAACATTTACTAGGGCTGTGTGCAGCATTTATTCATATTTAAATAAAGCCATTATCCCAGCCTTGAGTTCCAGTAGTTTTCAGCTCTTCCTCTTGAGTATTTCTCTCAGTAGTGCCATCTAATCAGCTTTAGGTTTTAATTAAACAGCTGTCATTTGCTTCCTAGTTCTGTTGCGACCTGATGTTGTATTAAATTTTAATTTGGCCTGGGCTGCATAAGAAGTAGATTCCTTCAGACAACAAAGAAATGCTATTAGCAGGTTACAGTTGTAATTAAGAAGAGCTCTGCTGAAGTGCAAATACATTCAGGTACAGAGAGAGCTGCAGATAAGCACACACACAATATTATTATTATTATTATTATTATTATTATTATTATTATTATTATTATTATTATTATTATTATTATTATTATTATTAGTCAGGGATGGAGCCTGTGATATGAATGTGTAGCTTCCACCCAGGCTGCTGAGCTGAAGGAGTTGGACAAGATCTGAAACCCTCAACAAAGGAAATGGGAAAGGATTCCCAGTTTTTTCCCCAGGGACCTTGCAGTGCCCAGAGTTAGAGGATTGTGCTGGTGGTCCCTGGCTGTTGTTGTTGATGTTTCCTGTGCCATGTGGGAGAACTTAGCCAAGTAAATCAGCACAGTGACCCCTCTCTACGTTCCAGGTGCTGTCAGTAATCACCAGCACAGGGGGCTAAAGTTTAGGAGCTCTTTTCCTGCAGTAAACCCTACCATGGAAATGGAAACCAAGCGTTACAGAATTTAGATGAAATGTTATGACTTGTTGAAGAAGCACTAAAAAGTCTGTTTATAAATCTACTGGACAGTCAGTTCATATTTCTTCCTCAGAGGAAATGTATTTTTGCAGTTTATAAATAGCCAGCTCTTAAAAAGGCCTTTACACAGCCCATTATATTTGTGTAACACTCACTCCAGGCATCAGGCATCTGAAATACTGATTTCTGTGGTGGAATTGCTTACCAGTGAAACGCAGGGTTTGTCAGGCTGCACCAGCTAATTAGCACGGGGGGTTCCTGTATGTGCTGGGAAAGTTCAGGACAGTTCTGCTGCTTGTTCTTCTCCTGCTCATCTTCACCAGGAGCTTATGAAAGGAATGCAAATGCCTTTTGAAACTTTACTTTGTCCTTCAGTGCATCAAAGTCTGCCTGCAGCTTTGGCAGCTAAAGAGCACTTAGACTTCAAAGGAGGCTGGAGGCTTCTTTGTGCTTTGCCACTCAGGCTGGTCAACACCCGGGTGATAGAACAAACAGCACGAAAAACAAACGAGAAATCCATCAGGGCTGCTGAGGAGCTGGCTCCAAGTCCAGCAGAGTCCAGAGAAGCCTTTAATCCCTGGCTCGTAGTGCTCTGGGTCGGGCAGTGGCTGCACACAAGCCCTGGAGGAGTTCACAGCTGTGCTAACACAGAGCTGGGAAATGGAATTGGTCATGTGCTCATTGTTTGTGACCTTGGCCAAAATAGATTTCCCCCAGATGCATTGAAGATCATCTGTTGTTGGAGGATGTTGGAGAAATGCTCTTCACGAGCCGTTTGACACAGGACCACCAGGTCTTCATCAAATATCTGCTATTTGAGGGCTTAGGATATATGGGATGTGTTCAGTGGTGAAATCCAACCACCTCTTCTCTGACTTGTGGATGAATTACCTTCAGTTTCTCTTTGTCTGTCTTATAAAACCTTTTTCCACCAGAGATGCACCTAAATGCTTTCTTTCACCTGGCAGTGCATTTTCTCCTCAGCCTTGTTCAAGTCTCAGTCTTTGTAAAGGATTCTCGGTTGTGTTCTCACACTTCCACTTCTGTCACATACTCATCTCTTTGCCAGTGTCCCTCTCTCCTGGCTGGCAGCTGGTTATAAATGAGCCCATTCAGCAGAAACAAAAACTAGACAGTCATTTACTGTGGCAAACATCTGGTTTGTGCCTCGCAGAGAACAGAACAAAGCCTGCACTTATTTCCTGAGGTGTTTTTCCAAAAGCTTCTCTGCTCAGGATGACTCTTAAATCACATTGAAGTCTGAGTGTGAGGCTGAGCACGTCCTTTTAGTGCTGTTCTGATCAGAAATGGACTCGAGTGTGTGCTCGATGCTTTTCTGGGCCGTGGCTGCCCATAAACATCTCGTAGGCTCTCGGAGGTAGCTGGCACTGCTATTAGTGCTGCAGCTCATTTAATTCAGGGCGCTTTTTGCAGAAGGTCCCGAATATTGATTAATAATACATCTTAGTTGCAAGTATTTATTGGTCTTCTCCAGCTGTCCTTAGCTTGTGGTCAATGCCCATTATTCTCTATCAATCTAGGCAGCAGCCAGAGCAAATGATAGTGGATATATCTCCCAATGCAAGCTGCCATCAAATTTTTCACTAAAATCCATTCCTTCTTCCACCAATTCTAATAATGGAATTTAACGTCAGATTAGTTCGAAGCAACTTTTTTTTTTTTTAATTTTCTTTCCCCCCCCCAATCAACTGGCAAGCAATTAGTTTTATGGAAGTTGAGAAATGAAAAGGGGATTGATTCAGAGCAGTATTTCCTATCCCAGGCTTTTCCAGAGGGCCGGAATGAATCCCTGTGAAATCCCAGATCATTCCTTACCCTGCTTTTGTGTCAACTTTTGGGCTGGCAGTCAGCACTGCTTCTGCAGAGGCTGCTCCTCTCCAGCCTGTACCTGCTTATGCCAGGCAGGGGCCTCTGTAGAAACTCATTTGGAGTAATTAATCAAGCTGCAGCCGCACCAAGGAAGGCTGTGTTAATGGAGTCATTAGAGTGCCAGCACTGTGAATTCATCAGGATTGCAGAGAAATGTGGTTTAGCATCTCTAGGTGGGATTTTGATGGGGAAAGACTAAAAAAATTGTATATGGATGCATAGTTTTTCTCCTAATGTATTTATGGAAATAAATGGCCAAATCACAGCTGAGTTAGCTGGAGCAGGATGGAAGAGATGCTGTTGTGCTGGTGGATAATCACCTCCCAAAGCACTGGCACCAGCTGGGGTGGTTTGGAGTTGGAGTGGGAGGAGTTGTCCTGGAGATCCCACTGAGCAGGGCTGTGCTCAGAGATCCCACTGCCCTCAGCCAAACCTGTAAATGGGCTCAAAAGGAGCAAAGCCACGTTTGTCAGAGCCAGGCCTTGGTGGTCCTGATGCGGCCTTTGGCTTAGAAAGTGGCTAAAACATTGCAGGGAGCTGGAGGGGTGCGAGGGGGGGTCCCATCCCCGTGGCTCTGTGGTGAGCCCTGTGACGTTCCCGTGGTGTTGTGCTCCTCTGACGCCTGTGCTGTGTTTGTGTGTGACCCAGGACACGGAAATCCTCAACACAGCCATCCTCACGGGCAGGATGGTGGCTGTTCCAGTCAAGGTGGTCGCAGTGCAGGAGGACGGCTCCGTGGTCGACGTCTCGGACTCCACCGAGTGCAGATCTGCTGACGAAGACGTCGTAAAGGTGAGGCCCCTGCACGAGCTGGAGAATGCAGTTTATCAATTTTAATCCTCCTCCAGCAGCCCCATACTGGGATTTTTCCATAGGCCAGTCGTTCCCCAGTGCTGGCTGCTGGCGGTGGAGGGTGCTGGTGACAAGGGAGGTCCTGCAGGGTCGGTCCCAGGGCTGGTGCAGAGCTGCCCAGTGCTCCTCTGCTGCCCAGTGCTGCTGAGAAAGGATGTGATGGTGATCCCAGGCAGGGATCAGCTCCTCCCAGAGGGGTCTGTGCTCCTGTGGGGCTGTTCTCCAGCAGCAGTAATGCAGAATATTGGCACAGAGGGCAGGCACTTCCCTTCGTGCTCTGGCTGCATCAACACTCAAGAGTTCTTTACAACTAAAGATCCCCAACATCTGGAAGAGTGACAGGAATGGGAAATAACAACCATATTGCAAAAAGTCTTGAAATGAGAGCTGCAAGCTTTTAAACAATGTTGTGCTGTGTTTTAGTGGGTTTTTTAAAATATTATGTTCAAGTGGTTCTGTGTCCCTGACATGGCAATGAAAATTGTGCTAATGTGACTTTATCAAGACTCTGCCTGCCTGACTTCTGACACCATTGCATGGCTTTCAGCTTTTAGCTCATCATTATTATTTTTAGGCATAAAAGAGGTGCTTTTGAATATCTTTAATAGATTAATTTGGTTTTTTTATGTGGTTTGGGGGTGTTCTTGTTTCAAATGAACTTAAAAATTGACTGCAGAGAATTCTGTGCAGGTTGGGGGGTTTTGATATTATTTATGGGCTCCATATTTTCCTTTAGGTATCAGATAGGGAAAGAAAAAAATCCCATTTTCCTTTTGCTGGAAACCAAATTTATTTGAAGGTCATTACCAGAGGAACATGGATGAATATCTTTGTTTATGAGTAAATTAATTGTCAAAGGAAAAGACTGCTGTGATAAATATTGCTATTTTTTATATTTTTTCTCTGTGTAGCATACAGCTATTATCTGATTAGTGACTGTTATTTATCAGTTGATAAACATGAACAATGTCTTGGATATTATAAACTCAAGCATCAAGTTCTGTATCATCAACTTATTGCTGAGATTGTCTTCTTTTTGCACTTCAGAAAACCACATCCAAAAGATGGTGTGTGGGGACTATTTTTATTAATTGAGTTTCTAGGTCTTGCTGTACTTTGAGAGTACTGGACTGAACCAGACAGGATTTACACTGTATTTTTTTTTTATTATTATTATTATTATTTTCAATATTTTTTTTTTGCTGCTAATGATTTGATATTAATCAGGTCTTCATTTGCCTGCCTCAGGAAATGATTTGGGTCTCAAATCACTGGCAGTAGGCAATTCCCCTGGGACCCTCTCCCAGACCTGATACCTGTCTCTCAGATATTTTGACATAATGAACAAACCCAAGAGGACTGAACGTGGTCTTTGCTGGGTTGATGTTGCCTCATCCTGGTGATACAAACTGGGAGTAATGTTATTTTTGTGAAAATTGCAGCATACTTGCATAATTTCAGTCACAAATTACTGAGACCAAAGGCATAATTTTTTAACTGCAAATATATGTATTGGTTGCAAGATTGAATCCATAACAATTAATTAGCTGAGTTAAAATTTAGTGCAGGCTTTATGTGCCTATATTTTTTCAGAAAAATGCATATTGCGTTTACAAGCCCCTTTGGTAAAGTCAATATTGACTTTGCTTCTGAATTTCTGTTGCTTTTTCCATATAGGTTGTAGTGCTAAACCCTCTAATGAGAGCTGTCAGGCATTTTGGATCTAATTGCCTTATCTTAAGCTTCTTTTCACTATTAATTCTGCCTTTATTGTTTCTTTGATGCTGGAGACATATTTGTATTCTTTTGGGCAGAATAGAGCGTTGCATTCTTAACCTTTTATTTCTGTTTAATAGCTAATGATTTAATAGCCAATTAATGAGACAATTCTTTGATCATTGCTCTAACTTCATTATTTTCAGTTAAGACATTAAGCTAGATTAAATAAAAACAGGTTTCCACCCTAGCTCTTATGTATTTATACAAAATATGTTTCTCTGGGCAGCGACCTGATACTGCTCAGAGATGGGCAAAGGCACAAGAGATGGACAAGTGATTTATTTGTGTGCCAGAGATGTGAATCTTCCCTGTCCTCATCCCTCTATCCCCCAGCCTAACAGCTTCCCACCCAGAGAATATTCCAGCCCCTTTTTCCCAAAGCCTACCTGATTACTGGTAAATATAACAAAACACACCTGGGGTTTTTGGACCTTGCATTTTTGGCATATGATCCTCACAGGAACCTGAGAGCAGAACTTGCTTTAGTTCATCCCAATCCCTGCTTCCCAGATTTGGACATTAGTCCCCTTCCATGGAACTGGCTGCCCTCTAAAATATTTTGATGGAAACATTCCTGTAAGTCAATGAAAGTCTTGTGCTTATTCCATTATTTAAAAGGAACATTTAATGCTGTTGGCATTTGAGGGAAAAGATTGACTTTATGCTTAAGGCACTGAAATGCTTCTCAGCATTAATTTCCATATCTCTTGCCGATTTCCTGTGTGACTGTGGGTAAATCACTCATTCCCCTTGGAATCTTGTTTCCTTATCTGCCAACAAGGAAAGAAATGAATCCTTCTCCCCTCCTCCACCTGCATTATATGGTTTCTAAAGCTTCTGTTGGATCTGGATGGCCAAAAATCCTCATCTTCACCTCAATAACCTCAGTGCTCTTCTGCCACACACTCTTCTCTTCCAGGACTTCTCTCCCTGTGTCCTGCTTTTCCTGCAAACCCTAAATAAATACATCGGGTTGTGAAGATGGAAGGAAAGAAATGGTGGGAACTTGGCAGAAGTTGGTTCCAGAAGGTTTTTTTTGTAGAAGGAAATGGACCCTGAGGGGCTTTGGCATGGCCAGCCTTTAGTTGGAAGCTCCAGGCGAGGTTCATGCCCTCCTTTGTAAAAGTGCCTTTAAAAGCTTGAACTGCAGTAATTCCACATGAAGGAAAATTCTGAAGACTCTGGAGTTTCGTGGTAGCTGTAAAAATCACCATCAGCATCAAATGGAGAAATTCTAATGAGGACAGCTTCTTAGTCCAACTGTTTATCTCAGTAAGTGAACGTGAGACAGCTGCCCAATTAATTCATCCTTCGATCGCTCATAACTCCATGTCCTTTGCAAGTTACGCACAAAGTGACTGGATGTTCCAGTTAATCTCTGTAGTCACTCAATGCCTTACACCATGAACTCATTTAGCCTAATTTTTATTATTTTTGCAGGAGAAAAGGCCCTCAGTAGAACAGCAGGGAGTCAGGGGCCTCCCCCTGCCCATTTCTGCCCCACATGAATGCAGTAGGAGCATTCCCGTGCCCAGCACAGCACGCTGAGAACAATGGTGTTCAATAATATCCCGTGAACTCCATCTGTGCCAGAATGTGCCTTCCTTGTTATCTTGCTGGAGGAAAGCTCTTCAATGAATTATTTTTCACCTTTTCATAATTTCCTGTCTAATTATAATGAAAGTAAAATTCAAACTGCTCCTGCCCTCTACTTTTCGGACACAAACCTTATCTTGAACTCTCCATAATTAATGGTAAAACAATAGAAGACCTAATTTTCCTGGCAGCAGCCAGCCAGGCTTTATCTAATGTGTAGAAAAAAACCAGTGTAACAAAGACAGGAAAGGTAATGGCTGAAATAGATTAAATCTGAGGAGAGTTCTTCCCTCTTCCAGACAAAGCAATGAGTGACTGAGAACCTTGTCCAACAGCCCTGGGCACAGAGATCTCCAACCCCAGAACAAAAACTGCTGCAGGGATCCAGGGGCAAAAAGCAAACAGGGAAATGGAGGGATATACTGAGCTTCTCCAATTTAGATGACACTGATTTTTTGAGAACAATTCTTTGCTGCAGACTCACAGCACATTCTGAGGACAATTTACAGAAGGAAGCACCTGCCTGGAGTTGTTAAATACAACTATTTATGCAGCAGCTCTGGAAACAAAGCCAGAGCTTGTAATTCGCAAGTTCTGCAGCTGCTTTGCCATTAAAGTATGTGATCAAGAATGAAATGGACTTGTGCATAAAGCAGAGCTAATCTTGTTCCTCCATCTATCATATTTTTGAGCACCTATCACTGTATTACCTAACAGCTTTATTTTCTGGTCACTCGTGCAGAAATTACCTTCCTGCAGGAGGCCACACTCTTTCTGGAAGCAGTGAAAATCCTCTCTGCTTGTTTTTATGATGGATTTACTTGGATGCCACTTGGCTTGTTGCATTATTAATTTTGAACTAGATCTTATTTTCTGAGTGATCTTTTTCTTCAGTGAAATGGCCGAGGATTGGCAGCCCTGGAGATGTGATAGCAGGGGCTGGGCTGGGGCTGTGAGGCTGAAAAAGCTTTTGAAGCATGAGTGTTTAATTTGGTGAGTCCTTCTCCCTGTCCATGCCATCCTTTTAATGTCACCTGGTTAGTGGCAGGGATGGAGCCAGCAGTGAGCAGCCCCAGGTCGGTGGCAGTCCGTGGCCAGCTGTCCACGGGAGCTGCATGGCACAGCTCCTGCCACACTGACGCCCCTGCTGCCTGGCAGGCAGCAGCTCTGTGCCAGGGAACCTTCCTCAGCTGAGCAGCAGGATTGTGAGGAGTCTTTGTGGGCCTGAGGAGTTGTGGTTGAGCTCTCGGTGTTGTTGTCTCTGTCTCAGCAGGGCCGTGGCGATGACAGGGACGCTCCTGTCCCAGGATGAGAAAGAATTGTCTTGTTTAACATCTTGCCTTTTGTCTCCATAGTCAGATATGCCTAAGTTAGGGCGATAATGAATTATCATCAAGCTGTTTGCAATTCATCAAACTTATAAATTAGAGCTTCTTACAATTTCTGGTTATTTTGGATAAAAAGCCCATTCTCTGTGTCCTCAAACAAAGTTCATCTTTATGGGTCATTAGGGATGGGCAGGAGAGCACATCAGATCTCTCTACAATGTGTCTGCTGTTGAATTA